AACAGTTGGGTAATCTGTTACTAATGGGGGCCTTCTAGGAATAAACAAGAGCCCTCCTGAACTAGTGTTGGGGACAGACGCTTCATTTTGTCACTCTGAAGTAACAAGAAAGTCACAAATGAAGAATGCATTCCTATCTATTTTGTATCCATGGCTGAATTCTCAGCATTGAAAAAAATTGCATGTGGCCCTTGTGATTAGGTATAAGGGATAAATAAAGGACATGATATCAAAACATGCAACTATTTAACCTTTTAAGCCACCCCAAAGGAGAAAAAGGCAAATATCATATCAAGTGTATTAGCTGACAACTTATAAATGTATTAATATTTAACCAGTGTTGCTTTCAGCTTCCTCTGTAAGTCATTATTCAATGTACAGCCGGTGGCTAAGGAGCCACACCAAAACCAGGACAGAGGAGTAGACAGAAAGTGTGTTAAATAATGTTGTGAGTTGAGAGGAGGGGACGTGAGGCAGAGGAAGAGCATGTGCTAGAGAGGCTGTGCAGTTTTTATGAGGCCAGAGAGTTACTTTTTGAGTGAAGATCTGAGGGAAGTGAGGGACTGAGCGTGCTAAAACATGGGAAGACTGACCTAGCAGGAGCAACAGCCTGGAAGGGTAGCTGAGCTCTGATAGGAGCAGAATGGCTGAGAGAAGAGAAAGCTGTGAGGCAGAGGAGTCACAGAGCTTCTGGTGTGTAGGTCCGTGGACAGGGTGGCGAGGATTTGACTTTTATTATGGGTACGATAAAAGCTACCCAAAGAGGCAGGATTTAAAAAGTAGCCATTAAAATACTGAGGCTTCAGTAGCTATGATTACTGGTATAAGAGATGAATAACCTTGGGTTCCTCAACACCCTGTCATGGTAGAAGGGGGAGGCCCCATTCCTCCCGGAGCTATACACAGTTAACTGTAGATGGAGAAGGGGAAAGCATTTTCCCCCCCAGTGCTGTAGCCATTAGTAAGGTAAGCAAGCCCTCACCCATGCTCCTGTAACTAGCTGATGAAACACATTGATTCCCACACACACATATACATGGGGCGGAGAGGGTCACTAGATGGGGCACTAGTTGAAAGAAGAAGGGAATTAGCTGTGTGGGAGGGAAGCAAGAGATTGAGGAGGGAGGGTGAATGTGATCTAAATACATTATGTATATGTTTGAAATGTCATAATGAAGCCCAGTATAATGTGTAATTAATCTATACTAACCAGGTACCACGCTCCTGATGGACCAAATAGGAGAATTGAGGATGACACAAGCCTTATCCCGAGTAGCTGAAAGGATGAAGAAGCTGTTTGAAAAGGATAGTAGTAACTTAGTTTAGGAAACATAAAGTTAGAGAGCTGATGGAGATACCAAGCCGACCGGAGCATAAGGACAGTGTCACATAAGAATGTGACAGCTACCACTATTTAATCTGTTTCAAGTACGTCCCTTGCGCACAGTGGTTTGCCATTGACCTGATACCCTAGTGAGGGTTGTACTCTCTTTGGCTCCATTGTACGGGTGAGAATGTGGAGTAACAGATGGGTTAACCCATTTCCCCCAGGCTGCAAGGCTGGGCCAGCCTGGGGATGAGACATCTGGGTTCGGAGCCCTTGTTCTCGAACTTGGGGTGGAGCAGGGGCAGTGTTTGGTCCTTTTCTTACATTACTCTTCGCCGGATGGATGTGTCTGAGAAGCATCATCATGGCAGCCCACTTCTGGCTGGCTCAGGCATCAAAGGTCTGGCCCTGGGAGAAGAGCCATCTAGCCCAGCACGAGACCTTCTCTCATTTCAGTGAAGCCTGTGGCCTAAGGACAGCCAGCCAAGCCTGTGTGAAACAGATCATCCCAGATTCTGAAGCTGGTAAATAAGCAGAGGGTATGGGGCCAAATGAGAACAGTGTGTGAGCTCCAAGGGCTAACTTAACCCCCAGCCCTTGCTGGGCTAGCCTTAATTTATCTTTCAAAGGAAATGTGGGTGTTTTCACTCATAAAGGTAAAGATCAGTATTGAAGTCAGAATTTCTGATATGTGTGTTTAATAAGTTTTATTTACAATTGAGTAAACACAAGTGGATTTTTTTTTAATGAATTACAGTATGGAAAACAGCAATACAAACCCTCGCCCTGTTAATAAATGGGAATGTTGCCATCATCCAGAAGGCCTGTGATTCCCTATTAATTACAACCTCCTCCATCACAGCCCCTCCCTCAGCTGCTTTCCCCTCCTCCCCTCCCCCTTGCGATTATTTGCCTTTGTACCTTTTGTTTTGTTTTTGTTTTGTTTTGTTTTTGACAGCTTTACAACCTACACATTTGTCAGGAGGATGTGATTTAATTTAGTATGGCTCTGAACTTTGCAAAAATGGAACAATGTTCTAGTTAGTATCTGGTGACTTTAATGTAGGATATGTTTTTCCCTGTAGCTGCAGTCACTTTTGTTTCTACGCTATGCGTTCCGTCATGATTACAGTATTATACAAGAGGTCATCTATCAGGCTACTGATGGACATTTGGGTCCTCTCCCCTTTGGCAGCTAACGAAGTGCTTCTGTGGGCATTCTTAACTCTTTTTTTTTTCCCCTCTGGTTTTAATATTTGCATTGAGACATGGCCTCGTATATGTGGGTCTCAAATTCCTTATGTGACTAAGGATGTCACTGAACTTAAAAAAAAAAAATAGTATTTTTATGAATTCTTTGAGAGTTTCATGAATTGAATTCTCACCTTCCTTCCACCCCTTCCCAGACCCGCCCTGCCCGCCCTTACCGCCCTGCCCGCCCAATTCTGCATTTTCTTTTCCTTTCTCTCAAAAAAACCAAAACCAGTTGGGTACATTATTGGGAATATGGTCAACCCACCGGGGTCACACCACTAAAAAAAAAAAAAATGACTCTCCTTCTCCAAGCAGCCATCAAATGACAATAGCTCTGCTGCTGGTGGCGGGATTTCCTGCCCACCTCTTCCCCTTCATGCCAGGCTTTTGTCTGGCTTGAGTTGTACTCACAGTCTCAATCTCTGTGAGATATGTGTATCTGTCTTGTTGTGCCCAGAATACATTTTCCTTGAAGTTATTCACCCCTCTGGCTCTTATAATCTTTCTACCCCTTCTTCTTCCAAGAATCCTGAGTTTGAAAAAAAAAAAAAAAGGAGCTATGAGCCCTCAGTGCAAAGATCCAGGTGTTTCACTCATGCCCAAACAAAGAAAGAATAGAGTCTCTTTTGTTTCCACAAGTACTGCTTTCTATTCCTTCTGAAAGCTCAACTTTCCCTTTCTGTCTTTCACCCCAGCTATAGCTTAGTGCTTCAGCCGGGATAACTGACTGCATCATCTTGCCGGTTTCTTAATCTCTGGGCTGGTTTGCCCCTGTGTAAGGGACTTCCTAATCTCAATGGAAAACCATTTGTAAAGGTGCCTACCTCAGTAAGTGGTATTTGCATTTGTTCCCCATTCTCGGTCCACTCTCTCTAGTATCTTGCTGGTAAAATTGCAATGGTACAATCGTTACGCAGCAATGTGTGGTGGGCAGTTAACTAAGAAGTTTTAGTTAAAAAGAAAAAGGAAACCCTGCCCCAATACACCACACACACACACACACACACACACACAAACACACAAACACATACAGCGTTTGGAATAGCTGATGGGTGCTCTGAGTCAAAGAGATAAAGCCAAGTCCTATGCATTTCCCTTTAGGAGATATTTTTTTTGTGTTCTCTGCAAGCCAGCAGCCCCAGTCAGACTGCATTGCGCATGCAATGGTGTGCAGAACTTCCAGTTATTGTCAGATTTGAGCCAAGCAGAGTTATCTTGTGTGTGTGTGTGTGTGTGTGTGTGTGGTGTATTGGTGCTAACACCAAACTTGTTCTGCTTCTTGTTGTATAATGAAAATTGGTACATTTTCTCAAGTTTACTGATATGCTACTGAAAATAGAGGGAAGGCCTGGATCAGAGTGAAACTGCAAGAATTCTGTAGTTTGGGCCTGAATGAAAATAAAATCTAATATAGAAATTATATTGCACCCTGAAGTTATTTGTACTCCCTTAATTAGATTTAATTTGAAGTTCCTGAGGCCCAAGTTTCAATCTGTTTTTGTGTATGTTCATGTGCATATGTATGTAGTGCATGTGTATGTGTGCAGTGTATATACATGTGTCTGTCTCTATGTGAAGAAGCCAAGGGTTAACAGAGCCACCTCTTGTTTTTGTGAAACTACAGGATCTCCCTCTGGGGCCCACCATTCTAATCAGAGTAGGCTGTCTGGCTGTCTGGCTGGCAAACCCCTGAGATTCCGTCTCTGCCTCCATATGCTTGGATTACAAGCACCTGCCACCCCACCTGTTTGCTTATGTGGGTGCTTAGGGTCAAACTCGGGTTCTTGTGCTTAAACAGCAAGCACTTTACTGTCATAGTTACTGTTCTATTGCTGTAAAGAGACACCAAGATAAAGGGAACTCTTATAAAAGAAAGGGTGCTTGCTTACAGATTCAGGAAGTTTGTCTATCATCATCATAGCAGGAAGTAGTAGATGAGACATCACAACTCATCTGCAGGTTGCAGGAGAGGAGAAGACTGAGAGAGAGAGAGAGAGAGAGAGAGAGAGAGAGAGAGAGAGAGAGAGAGAGAGTTCTGGGCCTGGCCTACTCTTTTTAAACCTCAAAACCCACCCCCAGTGATACACATCTTTCAACAAGGCCACTCCAACAGGGCCATGCCTCCCAATCCTTCCCAAGTAGTTCTTTCCACTAACTCAGGTCCAAGCAAGCATGGAAACATATGAACCTATAGCGGGCCACTCTCAGTCAAACCACCATACCAACGAATCCATCTCTCCAGCCCTTGGAGACCTCGGTCAATCCATTTCCTCTCTCCTCATCCCAAGTATTTCCTTTCCTTCGATGACAGCTGCCACTGCACAGGGTCTGAGCGACATCAAAGTAAGACAAGCGTGATAGACATAAGCGAAAGACAACTATTTACATTGTACCCTCTTGGATTTTCGTCTGTTCTCAGCCCTCACATTGACCATGCCTTGCTGGACATGCCCTTCCTTCGATGCTCTGAGAAGATGCCCGTTGACCTCTGAGAGCAGTTGGACCACCCACTCTGAGGACACCAGCAGTCCCAGCGTTGCTCCTTCATACACGGACCTTATCAATGCTGAGGGGCAGGCAAGCGGCAGAGTTTCCAGGGCTGACTCCACTGGTAAGCTCCATGTTAGAGCTCTCTGCAGATCACTTTTTGGCGTACTCAGATCCTCCTTAAGCTCCTGTCTTCCCCACAGCCAGGTCTGTTTGCACAATAAATATGTATGTGGTTGTCCAGTTCAGAAGCTAGCAGCCTCAGTGGTTTGCAATTGCAAAATTGGGAAACATGTATCAACAGACTGGCCGGTTGCTTGGCTGATGATTCCCATTGGGAAACCATTTGATGGTGTATCGCAAGTGTTGCTCTTGGACGGGTAGTACAAGTACCATTTCCCTGTCAATGTACTCTCTCTTCTAATTGATGCTGAGCTGTGTTATGTTCACAGGTTGAGTCTTTTATCTCACCACCCACACATCTTTCCTCCTCAGCAAGAAGGTAAATTTCAACAGGGAGAATTTACTTGTTATGTGAAAGAGAATAAGAATCTGGGTTCAGCCACAGTGTCCAGACTGCTAATGATTTTGCAGCCAAATGCCTATAGCATTGTGCCTTCACTGAGCTGTGTGAGGGTCTGAAATGATGCCCCATGGTCTCATTTGTCAAACTTTGCAGTACACACGGGATGGAAGTCCGGCTTTCATTGCAGGTGGAAGGTGGGTCCGCCAACAAGCATCCATCATGGACTCTTTGGTATGATACTGGAAAGATGTATGTTCTTGGCATCTGTGCTGTTTGGACAAAGGATTGTTTTCCTCTGAAAGTGACAAGAATTACTGCTAGTTGCTCTGTGGGTGAAACCATTCTCGTAGATACCCCGTGGTGTCAATAGTCTTTTGTTTTCCTTCTCAAAAACATCGTGAAGTTTGTCTCTAGGTCCTTTTTAAGATTTGGATAACATTTTCTCTCATGCAGTATGCTAATAGAGTCTACAAGCATTACGAGTGGTCCTGTGTGGAAAGTCAAAGGTTCAGGCAGGATTTGCTTTGAAATTTGATAAAATTGTCTGCTAGCATAGGTTACCGAAGACTCTATCTTCACCAACCATTGTTCTTTATGGCATTCAGTTTGCATTTGTCTCTGTGGCTTATGAGGCTGTAAATGCCCAACAACTCCATTTCCATCCTGGGACAGTCTTGTGGGTAGGAGGCACCTGCAGCAGCTGGGGCTGTTAGGGAAAGAGGCTGAGTGTCCCCTTCGCTTTTCATTGCCATCCACTTCCTCCCCTAGCATTCACATGGAGGAGGTACACACCCTTTGTACCGTTTATGGATGCTCAGATGCCACAGTCAGATCCTGGTTCTGTCATATACCAGCCACACGCCCTTCAGCAATCCTTACTATATACATGCATATATGTACATAGACATGTGTATATGGGCATGTTTGTATTTTTCACATCATTTTCACCAGATACCTGCCTGACAAGAAACAAGTTTTTGGGGCTTGTGGTTTGAGAGGACACAGTCCATCCTACTAGTCCAGGCAAAATAGCAGGTGGCTTCATGGTATCCAGAGCATGCTGAGGGGACTCCTCACCTGAACATGTCTTGGTGGAACATGAAGCAGACAGACAGGAAGCAGGGCCTGGTACATTTCAAGACCTGCCCCTAGTGACCTAATTCCTCCATCAACCATCTACAACCTCCACAAACAAGGGGACTATGGGGAACATTTATTCAACTACAGTGCTAAATGGGGGGAGGGGGAGTGAGTTCCTGTGACACTAGGGATCAGATAAAGGGCCACATGCATAGTAGGCAAGTGCTCTGCCCCTGAGCTACACCAGGCAACTCCCCAGCTTATGACTCTTGCTGTCTTTATGGCTCAATTTCATCATCTGACAAGTAGAAACAATAGCAGTGTGTACCTTACCAAGTGAGAAAATTTATATAGAACAACTTACATGATGCCTGACTTGGAAGAACCTGATACCAGGGATAAACTTTCCTTGCCAAATAGTTTCATGGCTCTGGAGAGGTACAAATTGGACTTTTTACTGAAGAAAATGTGAAGGTCAAACCCAGGGCAAATGCTCTGCCACTGAGCCACATCTGATTCCAAAGTTTACAAATATATATATATATATGTATATACATATATATACATATATATATGTGTGTGTGTACACACAGATATATATGCATATATGTATGTGTATTTATATTTATATTTTCCCCATTTTTTTTAAGGAAGGGTTTCTCTGTGTAGGCCTGGATACCCTGGAACACACTCTGTAGACCAGAGATCTGTCTGCTTCTGCCTCCCAAGTGCTGGGATTAAAGGCATGTGCCCTCCATGCCCAGCAATTATAATTTTAACATCTTCTTTTTCTCAGCAATAATTTTACAGTTCATCATCAAGAAGATCTCTTTCTCCCAGCACATGAGAGGCAGAGGTAGGTGGATTTCTGTGCGTTTGAGGTCAGCCTGGTCTGTAAAGCAGATACCAGCACAGCCAGGACTGTTACACGAGAAACCCTGTTTAAAAAAAAAAAAAAAAAGGAAAAATCACAAAACAAAACTCCCTCCCAGTTTATCGGGGTCCTGGAAGAGAGCAGATGGTACGGGAGGAAAGGCTTATTTGGAGAGAATTCACTGAGGAGGCAACAGCTGGAGTCATGCTCACTCGGGTTCTCCCCGGCTGAGCAAGTGTGATGACAGCAGACAGAATGGGCATGGACACTCTGTGTGTTGTCACCTTTGGATAAAGATGGATTGTGGCACTCAGGCACAGCCTGCAGGATAGTAGACTGCAGGGTGCAGAGTCACAGCCTCCTCCCTGTCATCTGCAAGGCGTTCTATAGGGATTTGGCAGCCTCACAGGACAGCGTGATTTACAGTGTAATTGTGGAGGGAAGGATTCTGTGATCCTTCCCAGTTTCTCACCAAAGGGGATAATTAGAGGAGGAAAAACAGACAAATCCCCTGGAGTTGGTAGATTACAGGGATGGGGTGATGCAGAGTAGAGGGAATCTCTCTAGAGATCCCCGTTCCAGGGCAAATGACAGGAAAATTAGGAATATAAGCACAGCCTCCAAAGCACCCCCTTCTCTGTCATCCCTGGCTCTCCAAGATCTCCTTTGCCTACACAAGAAAAGCATTCCTGTCACCTTCGCCAGGCAGAGAATGCCACCATGTCTGTAAACAGCCAGGAGATCAAGGGAATGGAAGTGAGCCCCTTTGAACTCTATCCTGGGCAGGGAAGGAGAAACACACTATTATGTTTGTAGTAGTTTTAAGCTACGTTAAGTTGTAGGCTTAGGGTCTAGTTTGCTTATGCACAGGAAGAGTGTAGATTTTAGTGTGAGATTAGAATGTGCAGCTCCGACAAACTAAGTAGTGTCGGAACAGAATGTTGGTTAAACAGAGACAAGAGTTATCACCATCCTAGATGCCTCTATGTCCTTCATATTTAAGAGTCCAACATTTCCCACCCGTGTTCCATGTAGCAACAGTAACATAGAGCAGGATGCTGGGAGCCCTTGGGTTAGGTCACGCTGTGGTATCTCCACTACAGATCCATGATGTACACAGTTCTGAAATGTATGTAATGTGTATATATACATATTTGAGCATACGTGTATTTATACACACACACATATTCAGTTTTCCATTGAGTTATCCTGCCTGTTTGGTCGGATGTCAATGTATGGAAACACAAAACACATCAGCCAGCAAGTTTTACTTGGAACTACATGTCTTCACTAGCGTGTTAGAAAAGAACAGAACTCGGAAACAGATTGCTGATGAACTCCCCAGATGAGTTAACCCTACTTTGTCCCATATGTTTGGCCTTTTTTAAGAGGGGCTGTTGTTGATTTAAGTTCTAGACCCAGCAGATGTGAAAGTGCACTTTGCTATGCTTCCTTTGTATGCTAATTATACACACCTTTGCATGTAAAGCCATGGACTTTAAAACAAATGTAGACCAGCTGATCATGGTTCATTTGCATTTAACTGACTGAAGTGGAATTCCACCAGAGACTGGCCCCAAAGGCAGACTCTTGTTTTCCTTTCCTTTCTTAGATAAAAATGTTTGTTAGGTAAAGATAACTCTTTATCTTTTAAGGTCTTTTGTTTATTTGCTACATCTTTCTCTCCTCCCCCCTTCCTCCTCTTGCAATTCTTGGTGTGTGTTTGTGTGTTGTGTATGCAGGTGTATGTGTGTGCGAGCATGCTCGTGCATGAAGGGCTGAGAAAGTTGATATAGGTATTTTCCTCAGTTGCTGTCTACTTTATTTATCGAGGCACGGTGTCTCAATGGATATGGAGCTTTCTAATTCCAGCTGGTCTAGCTAAGCAGTGTGCCCAGGGGATCCTCTGCTTCGGCTGGCATTACAGACAGCCGCCACACTTGCCTGATACTTAAATTGCTCTCTCTGGACACCCAAACTGCTCCTCATGCTTGCCTAGCAGGTGCTTTTTTCCCACTGTACCATTCTCCCAGCCCAGGGAGGCCCCATGCTTTGTGACATTTGCTGAGGTGAGTGTGAGAGTCTTCCCCACACTCCCTTTACAAGGTTGAACTTGCTTCTCCATCTTGTCCTAAAACTACTGCAGCCAGAAGCACAAAAACAGGACCAGAATCGCAAGTAAACAGTGATTGCCATGGGCATGACTGGCCTGTAGCAATTTTAGTTATTCCAGAGGTACATGTATACATCTTCTAAATTCTTTTGTTTAATACACATAACAGTATATATTTGTGTGAAAAATGAAATCACTATTTTTTAAAAAAAATTTCTCTCTATATATATTTCAGAGACAATTACAATTGTTAAAATATTTTAATGACGTTTATTTATTTATTTAGTGTGTGTATATGTGGATGTTGGTGTGCACGCACAGTAGAGGTTGAACTCAGGCTAACTCAGGCTGTTGGCTTTGGCAGCCAGTACTTTTACCAGCTGAGCCAGTCCTCCTACTGATGATTACAATCTTGTGAATGATAGTTTCCTTTTTCCAAATTCAGGAGTAGCAGCATAGTTTTTTAAAAAACAAATTACACATGTTTTCTCATTCATGAAAAAACACAAATTTAACCTGACATTTGTTTCT